CCGTCCCCACCCCGGTGCCGCCCCGGTGCCGCCCCGGTCCCGCGGCCGGCGCAGGGAGCCGCACGCGCGGCGCCTCTACACAACGCTGCTTTATTTACCCTTTGTACAAAACCGTGTTCGCCGCTTTTATTTTACAAAGTGGCCCCCAGCCCTCGCCGAGAGGAGGAAGGGGGAGCCGTGCGGGCCTCCCGCTGGGGGCGCCCGGCCAAGGGCACCCCCGGGGCCACCCCGCGCCCCGGCCGACTCGCCACCTCCCGTCCTGCCCAGGCCACCTCGGCCTCTGTCCTGCCACCGCTGCCACCCCCGAGGGACAATAAATAGGCTCAGGGAGTAGGTAAACTGGGTACTACACATTGGGCTACAGCTTAATACATCCTTGCTAGATAAAGAGGAGCAGGGCGGCCAGCCCCGACCCCCCAGCCCGGCTCCTCGCGGCCCCCCAGTCCCGCTGTATGAGGCACAAGTGCTGGGGAACTGGGTCGGGCTCTCTCGCAGGAGAGACAGGGGGGACAGGGGGTGAGGGGGCAGCTGGTGGGGGGGAGAAGATGCCGAGGGTGCCCCTCGGGAGGCAGCTCATCGGGGGCTCTTCCCCCGCCTGGCACCGGTGCTTCCCTGCTGGGGGGCAGGCACGGGGACAGAGCCAGCGCTGAAGTGGGGGCAGGCAGGACCCAGGGGCACCCCTGKCACCTGAGCTGAGCTCCCACCGGTGTCCCTGGGTCCCCACCGCTCCCGTGCCATGCGCAAGTGCCCCTGTGGTCCCTGCACACCACAGTGTCCCCAAGAGGGGCAGCCAAGCCCCACAGCCCAGCAGCCCATCCCCTATCCCTGCAGCCCAGAATTCCCCCCCATCAGGCCCGTTCCCTCCCTCCCTCCTCGGGAAGGGAGCAGTGTCCTTGGGCCCGGGCGCCTGCACAGCCCAGCTGAGCCCAGGCTGCCCGGGGTGGGGGCCCGGCCCCGCGCCGGCCCTACAAGTACGTGTCCTCGCTCTCCCGGGAGCTCAGGCTCTCCTTGGACTGGTGGTGGGGAGAGACCGGCGGGTGCAGCAGCTCCCGGGAAGAGATGGCTGCCCCATTGCCCTCAGCCTCGGGGCCATTGGGGGGGCCGGCCAGGCCCTTGTCTCGCTTCTTCTCCTTGCTCTTGCGGGCTTTGGGCACGGGGGCTGGCCCGGGGGGAACGATGATGGAGGGCACGGGCTCCAGGGCCTTGTGGGTGGGGGGCTCCGCGTCGCTGATGGCCTTGGCGCCATGGAGGCGCGGGGGGGACTTGCACTGCAGCTCCCCGTGCAGCTCCCGCCACTTCTTCAGCTGGATGAGGTGCTCCCGCTCGATCTGCCGCTCCGTCACGGGCAGCTCGATGACCTGGCAGGGACAGAGACGAATGCCATCGCAGTCCCCCCGTGATACGGGGCACCCAAAGGCCACCCCGCTTGACAGGGACCCACGAGCAGCAATGGCAGGAGCGGCTCTGCAGGGCAGCCGTTGGGCAGCGCRCAGGTCCTCACCCCAGGACAGACCCCAAAAGCCAGGGCCTCGGCCCTCACCATCGCCTCACCTCTTGCACCAGGAATGTCTCCTGCATGATCTTGGGGCTGAGGGCTCGCAGTCTCTCCATGGTCTCGTACTGGCCCTGGCAGGACTTGAGCTTGTCCGAGGAGCCCAGCGTGTGTTTGAGCAGCACAAGGCCAACCCGGAAGATGATCTTCACCCCTGTGAGGGAGGAGATGGCACACTGAGTGCTAGCAGGTAGAGAGTGACATTGTCACTACATCCCACGTGATGCTCCTGTGCCCGTTTCTTTCCCAAGGACATCCTAACAGACCAGATGCCAACCATGTATGGCACAAGGCAGTCTGCTCAGCCTTGTGCTGGGGCAGCTACCGAGGCACAGCGATGCTCCAGGGCGGGCCTGCTCTACCGCCCAGTCCTGYCTGCCCCAAGCTCCCTTCAATCCCATCAAATATTTGGCTGAGATCCCACTGTCTGTCTGCACACCAGTGGCTCTGCCTGCAACACGGTGCSTGGAGAAGCGGCTGCTCTCGCTGGGCACCAGGAAGCACCCAAGAGCAGCTGTGAGCTCAGGCTCGCTTGGGGATGCCTGGCTACGGACAACGGCACATACCTGTGGCCTGTACGAGCTGCTCCCCAAGCCTAGGCTGGGGGGCCAGAGCCCCAGCACCGCAGTGACCTGCTGAACACACTGGGCACGGGAGAGCCCTGCATTACATCTGCTGCAGACCCAGCCTGGGAGGGAGCACTGCAAGGGGAAGCAGAGCTGAACGGCACTGCCAGCACCAGCAAAGGGGAGGCGCAGTCCTTGTTCTGAGCGCAGCCAGGACAGACGATGGCACTAGGGGTCCGGAGCAGATTACAACCCCTACGTGTATTAACGCAGCCACGAATGTGCCCTCAGCTCCCCAACCAGACCSCACACGAACAGTCTGGTCTCTCTGCCAGCAGCCCAGTTTCCTCAAACCTGCTCTTCACCTGCTCCCACTTGCCAGATGCAAGCAAGCAGCCCATTGCAGTGCATCTGCTGCAAGCACAAGTGGGGGCTTGTCAACTGCCACAGGGACCCCAAAGGGAGAAGGCCTCTCTGCCCCCTGCCTTGCTGTAGGCAAAACCCCATCAGGAAGAGGCGCGTGACGAGGAGGAGCTCCCACCTTCGCAGAAGAACATGTCCCAGACGCGCAGCACAGAGCTCCAGGGCAGCGTGCGGGAGAAGGCGCACATGAACCACTCCGTCATGTACAGGATGGGGTCGATCTTCTGCTTGCTCAGGTGTTTGTAGGCCACGGGCGAGACCTTGTGCAGCAGCGAGAAGAGGATCTGCCCATCCAGCTGGATGGCCTCCTATAGAGAGAACATCAGCACTGAGCTCCATGGCGATTGAGCTCTACAGTGAGTGGTTATACGTGGGGTAAAGGGCTAGGCTAAGAGCTGGGGTTCAGGTTCCCAGTGCTCAACCCCAACACCCCAGAGCAAGAAGAACAGAATAATCCCCAGGTCAGGTTAAGGGACTRGAGCTGTGCCCCACAAATGCCAGAAGCTGAGCCCCAAATCCCTCCCGGCTGGGTGCCAAGGGGAGCCCTGGGAGCACTCCCCTCTGCCCCTTTTTTCCCACGGGCATAAGGACCCAGGGCAGCTCACGGCTCACAGACGGGTCAAACCCCTGCCATCCCCAGAGGCGGTGCCAGCCCTTCACTCACCAGCTTCTCACTGTAGTAGCCAGGGAGGTACTTCTCACAGATCTGCACCAGGCACCAGAACGCTTGCTGCAAGGCGAGACACAGCGTGTGAGTGCCCAACGCCCCAAAGCTCCAAGGGACAGGGGAGGGGAAGGAGGCTCAGTTGGGGCAGGAGGTGGCACAGCCACCTGGGCCGAAGGGCAGAGCCCCACACTGGCCGAGCTTCGGGGTAATCGGCTCTCAAGAGCCAGGCTGGGCATCGCATCCTAGGAGCGGAGAGTGCAGGGCAGGGTTCCCACCTCTGCCCCGGCCTTGGCAGCAGAGGTGCTGAGTTTCCCTGAGCGAGATGCTCGGGCAGCCTCCAATCACACAGGGAGGCAGTTGGGGAGTTGGAGCCTGGCAGTCAGCTCAGGCAGTGCTGTGAGCACCCTGCSCAGCAGCAGGTGCCTCTGCTTCCCCCCGAGCACCCTGCCTCCTCCCATGCCCAGGTCTTCTCCAGGCAGAGCGTTTCCCCAGGGCTGCCCGTCCTCCTGAGCGGCCTCGTACCTCGGCTGGCATGTGCATGAGCAGCACGGCAGCGATGGGGGCCTGGGCCTGGCAGTAGCCCTCCTCAGGGCGGTACAGCGTGTAGGCCTTCAGCACCCGGAACAGGTCCTGCTGCCTGCGGAGACACAGGGGCTAGGAGAGGTGCAGAGCCAGCAGGGACAGAGCCCAACGAGCTCTGGGGACAGGCGGCCTTGGTGGGTCTCTGGCAAGAGTCCAAAGATGGAACCGGGCTGGAAAGCCTTGCTTTGTTCTCAGCCCAGGCCCCAGGGGCTGCAGGAACACCCTAGCAGAGTCAGTGCAGACGAGGCAGGGAGCCAGTCGTCTCCCTGTACCAGTGCTCCCACCAGGGACGGCGGCACAGGGTGAGCAGCTCCCGAGCAGCCCTGGCTGCGAGCACAGGGATACAGACACGCAGGGACCTGCTGCGCTCTGCATTACTCGAGTGATGCAGAAATCACCATCAGCTACCTCCATTCTCCACCTTCTGACTTCCTGCTGCAGCAATGCCCACCCTGCTGGGGTTGGAGCTGGTGCCAATGGCCGTGACCCAGGGACCAAACCCCTGGAGAGCCAACTTGGGCTAAGCCCTCACCTGGAGCCTCCGARGACACTAGGGATGCGAGATAGGGTGACACCACTCAAGGGACTGAGCTCTGCTAGCTGGGAGAGACACCATGTGTTGCAAGGGGTCGGTGCATCAGCTGCCAAGCACCGGACGCGAAGCAGCTCCACTTACC